TCCTACCTTCCAGAAAGTGGTCGCTTTTCTGTTCAGAGTGTTATTTCTATTCTTATCTTCTATCTCCTGTTGAGTTCATAGGTGTTCAGAATGGTTTGATCCCTATTCAGCTGAATTCCTGAGACCAGACGAAATCCAGGTCTCCTACTCCTCCGCCCCATGATATGATTTATTTTAAAGATATAATTTAGAAATAGAGACAGTTTATTTTAAAAATCACATGCAGAGTAGTAATGTGTTTTCACCTGAAATATATCCAGTGGAATACTGGCAAATGTTTAACAACCAACTCTCCAGGGGGTTTGGGAGAACCTCTGATGAGTAGCATTTGCCAATTTTTGTGGTGTAAAAACTCCCACCATGGATTATTCAAACTCCTGCCATGGATGATTTCACTGAAAACAGAGTTGGGAAGACTTATGTGTTTGAGCACTATTACATGGTATTTTACTGTATACAATAGATTTAAATAATTTCCATAAGATAGATAATAGTAAGTATAATAGGAAGTGATGAGATTTGTTACCCTTGTTGTTAATTATAGTTCATATAATTTGATTTTTAATGCTGTTTAAAAATCTGCTTAGAAGTTCTGAAATTTTAACAATTAGTTCTAACATCCTAACAAGTCTGCTCCACCATGCTTCTGAGTCCATATCTTTATATTAATTGGGAATCTTTGGTTGCAATTGACAACACAACACAAAACAAAATGCAGCTCAAACGACCCTAAGCAAAATATGAAGTTATTGGCTTACATGACAGAAGGGTCCAGAGGTAGATAGGGCTTTGACATGGCTGCATTTAGGAGCTCAAATTAAGCCCTCAGTAATTACTCTTTCTGTCTCCTGGCTCTGTGCCTCTCCATTTGGTTCCTTCTCCAGCACACTCCTTCCATGAAGCAACATAGTTGCCCTTTATAGATTATAGATGTCTTACTTAGTGTCTCAGAACGACTGAGATTCTTTCTGTTTTCAAGTCCATCTCAGTCCTTAAAGGAAGACTGTGATTGTGCCCTCCTAAAATCATGCCCTCCTCTGAATCAATGACTGTGTATAAAAGCTTGGGAAACTCTGGTCAGTTGGGGTCTCCCACTCAGGGGATGGGAAAAATAGAAGCCCTGAATGATATCCCCCCAGAAGTGGAGAGAGGTACCACTCTAAAATTGAGGTGTCATTACCAAAAGGGGGGAAAAGGAAGGGAAAGCAAAAAACAGCACATGTTCACCATATTCTGCTTACCAATGCATTTTTATTTTAAGGTTCTATTAAGGAATGTGGGCATGAGGGGCCAGAAGACAGTCTTTCTAATCACAGACACTCAGATTAAAGAGGAAGCCTTTCTAGAAGATATTGACAGTGTGCTCAATACTGGAGAAGTACCTAACATTTTTGCTGCTGATGAAAAACAGGAAGTGATGGAGGTAAATGCTTTTTAGGGAGTACTGTTCCCAGGACAGATATGTTCTTATCTTGCAACTTTTTCTCGCTCTTCAGGACAATTATAGCTTGTGTACAGGATTTTGGTAATTAAAAACTTAAAAGTATATTATTTTAATACATCGGGGTTTTTTGGGTAAACTTCAAATCACTTCTACCATACTTATGAGACAGAATTTTTATAATTCCTTTTTTTATAATGATGGCAATTTCATCTGTTTGATCTTATGTAGCATGTTTTATGAGTGATTAGACATTTTAAATCACATCTTAGGGTCACAGAGCTTTGAAACATTGCTTGATTAGTTGTTATGGTTTACCAATGACTAGCAAATTTTTAAAAAGCCTTAGTAAAACTACTTGTCTTAACAATTCTGATATATCTGAGAATCATGCTTTGTGACTTACTTGACCAAAAAAATACAATTGTGAAGTGCCAACTATTTCAGATGTCTTGTCCTTCTATCCCCATTTCTAATATTTCCCTATGCAAGATCTCTGCTAGTACTTGCTTCTTTCTTGTTGCCATAACTACTGTTAACTACAGAATATATCACTTATAGCTGGATGCTTCATTCCAGTTTCCAGTGATAGCATCTGTAGTAAAATAGATTCGCCCTAGTAGTTCAAGCATCTGCTTTTCTCTTGCATGGAATGGAACTAATATATATACACATCGTAGTTCCTCCTACATAGGGTTGTTGTGAGGTCTGAAGATCAAATGAAATGAAGCACTTATGAGTGTCATGTACTTAGAACACCCTCAGTAAATGGTACATTACCAGTTTGTGGACTGGGGTGGGAAGGAGAAAAGGAATAAAGAAAATATCCCAAGTTCTCTCTTTTATCTGGGTGATGTCAAGGATGTGGCCAAGGCTGCCAAAAAATGGTGAGTCTCCTAATTCATAGGATAAATTCATCCCCTATACTCCCATCCAAGAAATAGTCACCGTTGGGGAGTGGGATTTTCTTAGCTCTGCCAAGCTTCCCTGCTCATGTTAGCTATTTATCTTTTCATCTTGTCACTTTGCTACAAAACTTTTCCATTGCTTCAGTATTTTTTTTATGGTGTGACCCAACAGTGGCCATAAGAACTTCTTTCCTTCACATTCCACCCAAGTCTAGGAACACCAGATTAATTTATCCTCAAGGAAATAGCCATAGTCAGAACGCAGTACTGAAATGCATCCCTGTTTCTCTTTGCTTTTTATGCTTATACTTTTAAAATAGAAAAGGTAATATGAAAGAAGTTCTATTATTTTCTTTCCATACTCTGCATTATCCTGGACATCGCACTTTGGAGATCATGTCCTTGGCTTTGTTTATTTCATCCCTCTGACAAATATTTTAGTTTAAACCTCCTCACTTCTGATAACTGGCCTCTATACTTGGACTTGACACTGCTTACAGACTCAGCACGTCTCTGACTTCAGCAATAGAGTTCAAGCCTCAGACCTCCGTTTCCAGACTACTTTTCCACTGTTCTTTTTTTTTTTTTTTTTTTTAAGATTTCATTTATTTATTTGAGAGAGAGAGAAGGAGAGACAGTGAGAGAGTACAGGAGGGGAGGAGAGGGAGAAGCAGGCTTCCCGTGGAGCAAGGAGCCCAACACGGGGCTCGATCTCAGGACCCCGGGATCATGACCTGAGCCGAAGGCTGACACTTAACCGACTGAACCACCGAGGTGCCCCTACTTTTCCACTGTTCTGTTTGCCTTCCTTGAAGCCCAGGGTCTTTCTCAGTAAAACAGTGACTTCTTACTCACCACTTTTAGTGATATTTTTCTCAGTTCCTTTTAAAAATACTCATTCATGTTTGACATAATTCATTATTCTTCAGCTTACATTAGGGCTCACTCTTTGTGTTGTACATTTTATGGGTTTTGGATAAATGAGTACTGATGTGTATTCAACCAGTAAGTATCATACAGAATGGTTTCCCTAACATAAAAATGCCACGAATTCCATCTATTTATGCCTCTCTTCCTCCCCTGAACTCCTAGCAATCTCTGCTGTTTTTACTGTCTCCATCATTTTTAGCTTTTCCAGAATCTTACATAGTTGGAATTATACAGTATGTAGCTTTTTTGGATTGGCTTCTTTCAGTTAACAATATACTTTAAGGTTCTTCCATATCTTTCTGTGGCTTGGTAGCTCATTTATTTTTATCACTGAATGATATTCCATGGAATGAAAGTATCACAGTTTATCTGTTCACCTATTGGAGGACATCTTGGTTGCTTCCAAGTTTGAGCAATTATGAATAAAACTGCCATAAACCTTTTTTGTGCAGGTTTTTGTGTGTTTCCAACTCCACTTTCCCTTGACTGCTGCGAAATTTCACTCACTTTGTCTAATTATTTTTTCAGTAACAACTCATCTTCTTACTGCCCCGAATCAGTCCTGCTCCCAAGGTGTATGTGTGTGCATGGGGATATTACTCAACCACAGACAGCTTATCTACCTAGAAGCATTAACCATTATTTCTATGTAAATAACCCCATACTGATATTACCATCCTGACTCTTTCTTGAACTTTTGTTCTGCAGTTACAACCATATATTACCTTTCTCTATTTGCATGTCCCAGGGTTAACTCAGACTTAATGCAGGTAGACCACCTGAAATAACTTCATAGACTGACACTGATCATAATAATCATAATTTGGGAATGACTATCAGAATGCATATACAGAATCCATTTATAATTTTCCACGGATATAGCTAGTACATAAGGCAGAACATATCTATAATAGAGAATTCTTTTAGAAATCAATTCATTGTAGTAGCAATAGCATTGTGTGTGTGTGTATATATATATGTCTATATATATGTGCTATCAAAAAACTTTCTTAAATCTATTTATAAGATAATTTATTGACTATGAAATCTTTTGTGCTCTGAACAAGAAGGGTAGCATATAAAAACTAATAGTTACCTACCTATGCGACAAGAACTATTCCAAGTGTTCACATATAATAACTCATTCAATCCTTCAACATCCGTCTGATGGACTCTTTCCCCCATTTTACAGATGAGGAAATTAAGTTACAGAGAGGTTAAATAACTTGCCCCAGGGTCACATAGCTAATAAGCTGCAAGCTGGGATTTGAATTCAAGAAGTTTGGTTCCGGAGCCATGATGCCCAACCTTGAGTAAGATGCCTCTCTCATATAGAGATAAACAAAGGAAGTTAAAAGTGCTCCTATAATCTCATCACCAGACAACTGTATTAGCATTTTTAAAATATATGCATGTTATAAGAATAAAGTGAGAGAATTCAAACAGCATAAAAATGTCCAAAGTGAAAAAAAAAATGATATAAACCAAGAAAAATGTCCAGAATAAAAAGTGACAGCCTCCCTCCCACACTCTCCCTTAAGTCCATCTCACCATAAGTAACATTATGAATAGTTTCTGTGATTGCTTCCATAAAAAGGTGTGTAGGTACTTACACATGTGCCTGAGTATTTTTTAAGTTAACAAAGAGGATCGTATTATACACACTGTTGTAGTTTGTTCTCATTTTTATCCTGCTGATCTTGCCCTAGCACATACATTGATGTGTCTCCTTTAATGGTTATATAAAATCACAACATTTGGATATTTTATAATGTTTTTTTAACTGGATGCTTTGGTTGTTTGTTTTTCCTCTTACAAGCAATGTTGAATTATAGTCCTATACATATATCATGGTGAACTTTTTGTGAGTATCTTTATAAATTAAATTCTTAACAGATATTTGCTTTCAAATTATAGAATTATGGAGTTGGAAGAAGTCTTCTAAGTACAAACTGTATCAAAGAAATTCCACTGATATAAAAAAATTTAAGGGTATTTACAAGGTGAAGAATAAAAATTCTTAATATTCCAGGATCTACTAATCCCATTATCAGCCTGTCCATTTTTGTTTATAAGGTTTTTATTTTCTGTTATTCCCTAGGGTGTTCGTCCTGTAGCTCAGGCTGGCAATAAACACAGTGAACTCAGTCCCTTGGCCTTGTTTGCTTTCTTTGTGAATCGCTGCAAAGATAATCTTCATGTTGTAGTGGCCTTTAGCCCCATTGGAGATGCCTTTAGAAATCGCTTGAGACAGTTCCCATCCCTCATCAATTGCTGTACCATTGACTGGTTCCAGGTTTGTAATTTTGGGGCAGAGGTGGTGGGGGGATGGGAACTAAATCTTTTAGAATTTTTCTGAAATCTTACTCCACCTCTGTTAATATCCATTCAGCACATGTTTCTTGATCACTTACTCTAATGACAGGCATAGTGCTTGGCGCCAGGGACTGGTAAGCCTACAGGATCCCCAGAAGGATCTCACACTCTAGACTGGAAGATAGAAAAGGCAGTTGGCAAATGAGCAGCCACAATTATATAAAAGAGCTATAATCTTGGTGTGCAAAAGTGAATCGCTGAAGTATGAAAATAAATTAGTTACATAGAGGAGGAATATATTAAGAGCCAAGAGAATGTGTTATGTATATATGTAGATATAAACCTACATGTATATATGTATAAAAAAATATATATGTAGATCTATATCTGTCCATATCAATAGCTATATCTATACATATATTTATTATAAGTAATTGGCTCACATGATTATGGAGGCTCACCTGTTTGAAGATCTGTAGCCAGCAAGCTGGAGATGCAAGAAAACTAATGGTATAAGTTCCAGTCTGAAGGCCATCAGGCTCGAGAACCAGGAAGAGCTAATGTTTCCATCTGAGTCCAAAGGCAGGAAGAAACCTCAATGTCCCAGCCTGAAAGCAGGCAGAAGGAGTTCCCCTTTATCTGCGGGTGTAGGAGTGTTCAGCGTTTTTGTTCTATTCAGGGCTTCAACTGATTGGATGAGACCCATTCACACTAGGGAGGGCAGCCTGCTTTACTTAGTCTATTGATTTAAATGTTAAACACATCCAAAAGCACACCTCATAGAAACATCAAACATAATGTTTGTCCAAATATATGGGCACCCCGTGGCCCCTAGTAAAATTGACACGTAAAGTTAACCATCACAAGGGCATAGTATGTGCAAAGGTAGAACAGCAGAGAGGGCATGGCTCATTGGTGTAACTGCAGATAGTTTGGTATAGCTGACTGGCAATGAGGATAGCAGGAGTTAAGCCCGAGTTTTGGGTGGGTGCCAAGTTGTAAGGGAATTTGTAAACGTGCCTATGAATTTGGTTTTATACCAAAGACACTGTGGGGCCTTAACATATATTTAGCTAACATATTTCAAAGGAAAAAATCCAAACACTTGGAGGCTATATGGTGGATGATTTGGAATAGGGCAAAACAAGAGACAGGAAGACCAGCTGGGTGATCATTTCAGTCATGCTAGCAGCAAATGATGAAGGCCGCCACTTCACTTAACCTTAAGGCAAATTGTCACTGCCTGTATAAGACTATGAAGTAGTAGTAGTTATGCTCTTGAGAACAGTAGTTCTTGGTACCTTCTATTTAATTGTTTTATGTTCAATACAATGTGGACTGTAGATTATAGACTAATTTCTTTTATACCTCTTTTTTAAAAATATTTTATTAATTTATTTTAGAGAGAGTGAGAGAGTGTGCAAGCGGGGTTGGAGAGGTGGGGAAAGAGGTAGGGAGAGAGAGAGAGAATCTGAAACAGATTCCACCCTGAACACAGAGCCTGATGTGGGGCTCGATCTCATGACATCAAGATCATGACCTGAGCCCAAACCAAGAGTTGGATGCTTAACCGACTGAGCCACCCAGGTGCCCCTAATTTCTTTCTTTCTTTCTTTTTTTTTTTAAGATTTTATTTATTTGAGAGAGAGAGAGAGAGAGCACAAGCAGGGGGGATGGGCAGAGGGAGAGGGGAAAGCAGACTCCCTGCTGAGCAGGGAGCCTGACTCAGGGCTCAGTCCCATGGGAATCATGACCTGAGCTGAAGGCAGATGCTTAACCAACTGAGCCACCTAGGTGCCACCCAGGTGCCCCTTAATTTCTTTGAAAAATAAATTTCTGGCACTAATTTGTTTTATTCTCTTTTACCTATTTATCAATTGTATGTTTGAAAAACTAGTTTTCTTCCTTTGGAGGACTGTATATATGTTTCAGTGAGTAGATGTTTTAGTGTTTACACAAGAGTAAAAGCTGGGTGGAAACAATTTTGATTTATGTAAACCATATCTTAATATTATATCCATTAAGTGGCCAGAAACCAAAACCAAATAAAATCTGTCCAGGGGCACCTGGGTGGCTCAGTCGGTTAAGCGGTTGCCTTTGGCTCAGGTCATGATCCCAGGGTCCTGTGATCGAGCCCCGTATCGGGCTCCAGGGAGCCTGCTTCTCCCTCTCCCTCTGCCTGCTTCTCTGCCTACTTGTGCTCTCTCTCTCTCTGTCAAAAATAAATAAAATCTTTAAAAAAAAATCTGTCCAACCATAAATTTTTCTTTTGTGAAATCTTATAAATAGAGTTTACTATTTCTGAATATCTTTGTCATAACCATGAGACTTTCTATTCTATTATAAGTGATTCATAGTTGTTGAGAAAATTTTTTAAAAGAGGAAACGGAGTTGCAAACAAATAAGGGAGTTTAAGTGGGTAACAGAGAGGAATAAAGGTTTTACACTGAAGCAATGGGGATGTAGGATCTGTGTCAGAATGATGCTCATGGCATTGTCTGGGGCCTGAGTGTGCGAAACTCAGGAAATGATTGTAAACCACTGTGTGTCACATAGGTCAGGACGGCATTGACTTTTTGGCTAGATCTTAGTCTCAAAGTAGGGTGTGCACTTACCAGGGGTACCAAAGCAATTCAGATGATAAGGGAAGGATTACTGGAATATTCTTTTTTTTTTTTTTAATTGGCTCCATGCCCAGCGTGGAGCCCAACACGGGACTTTAATTCACAACCCTGAGATCAAGAGTTGAATGCTTAACAGACTGAGCCACCCAAGTGCCCCTGGAATATTTATTTTTTGTAAGAAATATTTTATATGGATTAACATTGACACCCTTACTCAGTTTATATGTCAGGTGGCCATGGGTCATAGACAGGACATAAGGTAACCTGAGGGATCCCTGTGATAAACTGAACATTGAAGATACAATGCAATTATGAGTGGATGTAAGAGAATGGCATAAACCAGCATAAGCTAGCTTGAGCTCTGTTTCAGCCATGTCATGAGGCAAAAGCAATGACTACTTAATCTGATCTGACAGGATATTAGTTAAGACAAATTTAAGAAGGCTATTTAAAATAGGGATTGATACTGACTTGAAACAACAAACCTTATCCCAGGAGTATATCATACAGTGCAATATTAGCTAATGATGGCACTGGAGAGACTGTTGGTTTCCTGTCAACTGCCCTTCTCTACCCACTTCATCCTTGCCTACAGAATTCTGATTTTGTCTGGGAAATCACCCTCTATGTAGCCATGTATCAGAGGGGTTGATTCCTGGTTGGTCTAAGTCAGTATTGGTGCTCTTGTGCCTCTTGCTATTGATTGGTTTATGCATGAGCCTGTTCATGACCCACTGCTTGCCATGGGGCCTGAGTTCAAGTCTACTGGGGAGGTTTGGGGAATAGTTTTTTCACTATAGGAAGAGTTACATGGTAGGAACAGGGCCTTTTCTGTCTCTCAAACTTGTTGCTTGAGGATATGATGTCCACAGCTGCAGCAGTCCTCTTGCCATCAAGATGGGACAAGCCCAAGGATAAAATAAACTGAGAATGGTAGAGCAAAAGGATGGAAAGAACTGGATGGTTGATGACATGGTTGAGCTTCTAAATTAGACAACTCTGAGCAGTACTCCACTTCTAGACTTATTATATATGATGGTACATCCCTTTTGTGGAGACACAATAAAACTGGTTTCTGTCACTTTGGCCATAAATATTCTAGTTGCCCAGTTAGTTATCAAACCTTCATGATTAGGGCATCTGGGTGGCTCCATTGGTTGAGCATCTGACTCTTGATCTCAGCTTAGGTCTTGATCTCAGGCTTGTGAGTTCAAGCCCTGAATTAAAAACAAAATAAACAAAAAACCCTTTACAATTAGCAGGATAATTAAAAATGAATCACCCAGAACAGAAAGATAAACCTTTGTGATGCTTTCAGTGATATATAACTCATATGACACTTACTCTGTCATTTTACAAAAATTCACTGATCTCAGTAATATTTAGAAGCCTCTTTTGTGGTTTGAAAAATATGTTAGTACAACATGAATACAATCTATTAGTAGATATGCATACACTGGTAGTGTGTGCTTAAAACTTTACTAATGGGGTGCTAGGTCAAAAATGTTTGAATTTCACTAGGATGGAGGACCAGAGACTGAAAAAAAAAAAAAAAGGATCTTAAAATGAATATTGTCTGATACAAAGGAAAATAATTACAAGCATCTTGTTGAATCTAAATGAAATTTGGAAAAT